TTTTTTTTGAGACAGAGTCTTGTTCTGTTGCCAGGCTGGAGTGCAGTAGTGCAATCTTGGCTCACTGCAACCTACACATCTCAGGTTGAAGAGATTCTCCTGCCTCAGCCTCCCAAGTAGCTGGGACTATAGGCATGCCACCATGCTTGGCTAATTTTTTTTTATTTTTAGTAGAGATAGGGTTTCACCATATTGGCCAGGCTGGTCTCCATCCCTTGTGATCTGCCTGCCTCAGCCTCCCAAAGTGATGGGATTACAGGTATGAGACACTAAGCCTGGCCCCCTTAATTTCTTAAAAGCTTCCTTCCACTACCTACCTTAAGCCCTCAAATACTATTCCCTCCCACATTCACCCCATTCCTGAACAATGATGTACAATAAGACTTCATGGAATACTTACAAGGAGTTCAACTAAGCTCTTGGCACCTTTTCCGGAATCGGGACCAAACAATGTTTCTGTAGATTCTGCAAGCTGTGGTACATTTTTTCTATGCTCAAACCAAGGCAGTGGCTGCCCACCCTTTTCAGAGCTGCAACAGCTTTCAGGATGTGCATCTTTGGTCTTGTCACGGTGAAACACTGTGTGCATGGTATTTCCTGAGGTCTCTCGATTACCTGGATCTGTAATACAGCTTCCAAGCTTCTGGATCTGATACCACAGCAAAAGATTTCACAGGTTAAAAGGCATGAAATAATAGCAGTTATTCTTTTTTGGAGACCAAGTTTTGCTTTTATTGCCCAGGCTGGAGTTGCCAGGCTCACTGCAACCTCTGCCTCCCAGGTTCAAGCAATTATCCTGCCTCAGCCTCTCGAGTAGCTGGGATTACAGGCATGCGCCACCACACCCAGCTAATTTTTTATATTTTTAGTAGTGATGGGGTTTCTCCATGTTGGTCAGGCTGGTCTCAAACTCCTGAACTCAGGTGATTAGCCCGCCTTGGCCTCCCAAAGTGCTGGAATTACAGGCATGAACCACCACACCCGGTCAGCCGTTATTTAAAAAAAAAAAAAAAAGCCATGCGAGGTAGCTCACTCCTGTAATCCCAGCACTTTGGGAGGCTGAGGCAGACGAATCACCTGGGTTCAGGAGTTTGAGACCAGCCTGACCAACATGGTGAAACCCCGTCTCTACTAAAAACACAAAAATTAGCCAGCGATGGTGGCTTGCGCCTCTAATCCCAGCTACTCGGGAAGCTGAGGCAGGAGAATCGCTTGAACCTGGGAGGCAGAAGTTGCAGTGAGCCAAGATTACACCACTGCACTCTAGCATGGGCGACAGGGTAAGACTTCATCTAAAAAAATAAAAAAAGAAAATAAAAAAATCCTGACATTGTATTAAACCTTTAGAAGGAATACTGAGTAATAGCAGTAGCTGGCATTCATTTATTAGGCAGTTACTACGCACTAGACACTATGCCGCACCTGCCAATATACACTCACTTCACCTTCATAGAATTTAATATGATAGGGACTAAACCAATTGTTTTAAGATCACATAGCTTACAAATTTAAAAGAATAAAAAGAAGTGAATTTATGACTCACAAGGACTGTTGGACAAACGACCACATCTCTCTCTCCCCACAACACACACTCTCACAAGATAAGCAACCAATGGAACTGCATAAAGTACTCATTCTAAAAAAAGTAAATCCTAGCAGCTAAGCTGCACATATGCCACTCCAAGGAACACGCGTGTTCTCTCAAGAGCAAAGGTTTAAGAATTACAAGTTGCAACACTTACATGTTCATCACATTTCAACGTCTTGCTTTTCTTTTTCTTCTTTTTATTTTTTCCTTTTGTGTTGTTCTCTTCAGAATTTGCCCAACATTCAACACAACTATCACCATCATCCTCTTTGTCTTCACAGTGATGAACACAGGAGTCATCACCTGCAGAAATCAATAATCCTTACTTATGCTCTTAAGTCAGCCATGTAGTAGAAATAACCGGGAAACTTAATGTGAGCCTACCGTGTTCATCATGATTACAAATGCCTTCAGTGCAGGCAACATCCGAACCCTCCCGAGAACCTGTTTCACTCCCTTCCATGCTAGATGAATATCCACAATCACTACCATTACAGTGTGGAGATAAGCCTGAGAATAAATCAAATGAGAGTTACAATTAACATACCAATAAGCCTATTAGGACAAAGAGTGAACCCACTGGGGACCACAGAAAAATCTCATAATCAATGGTTTATTTAAAGTAGAACATTTCCAATGAAGGATTTTTTTTTAAGTAGAAAGCAAATTAAATAACGAAAATATGATTAGGAATTTACCACTTTTTTTGGTTTTGTCAAAAAAAATATGTCAAAGAACATAAAGAAAAAGGAAACATTAAGTATCTGACTAAATTATATTAAACTCCTGGAGCTATAAAGCAGTTTTAAATTTCTAGCTCACAGAATCTCTAAAAGCTCTTACATTTAACAGTAAGAAAAAACAGAGGAGTTAAAAGTTGATTTTAAAAAGAAATTATTTACTTACCTTTCTTTATTTTAGGGGACCCCAAAAGATTGCCACTGCTAGGACAGGTACATGACGTATTTTCATTGGTAACAATTACTTCTACACAAGTATTACCATCTTCAGTGCTGCCACAGGCTTTGCAGCTGCTATTTTCTATGAAGTCTGTTTCCTTTAAGGATCAACATTAAGAAACAGTAAAAAGCTTTACTCCATAACAGCTACACTTTATTCCCTAGGTCAAAACTATTTTCATCATAATACTAAGATAGTATGGCATTTTCACTGTACTGACACTTTCATAATACTAAGATATTAAGGCATTTTCACTGTACTGACACTTACACTGACAGTAAAAAAGCAATGGTGGGTAAAGGTTTTAGTCCTTAGCACAAATCAAGACAGTGGCAACCAAAATGTACTAAGAGTCACTGTATTCTTTAATTGTCAGGCACTCACACGAAAACAGATATTTCACTTATGAATGTCTTTCAGGAATCTGCAAAAATATTAATTGTATTAGAAATCAACCATGAATACATACACTTTTTCCTTTTTTTTTTTTTTTTTTTTTTTTTTTTTTTTTTTTTTTTTTTTTTTTTTTTTTTTTTTTGTGTAGGGTCTCCCTCTGTCACCTAGGCTAGAATACAGTGGTACAATCATGGCTTACTGCTGCCTCAAACTCCTGGGCTCAAGCAATCCTCCTGCCTCCAGTTCTGAAGTAACTAGGACTATAGGAGCGTGCCACAACACCGAATTTTTGTATTCCTTTGTAAAGATGGGGTTTCGTTATGTTGCCCAGGCTAGTCTTGAATTCCTGACCTCAAGCAATCCATCTGCCACAGCTTCCCAAAAGTGCTAGAATTACAGGCATGAGCCACCACATCCTGCCAACAGAAATCTTTTTAATAGTCTATGTGATAAACGGGAAGTATGCTTAAAGCACTTCTGTTGCAGCTGTCTCAAGGAAACATACTTGTGCAACTTTTTGAATTGCAAGCTGAAGTTTTTTTTCCTGGAACATCAAGTTCACTTGAAAGAACGAGAGACAAACTATGGTTATTCAGACTTGGATATTTAGCAGGCATTTTCTCAAAAATGAATGAAGTCAGTTACTTCAAGGGAAACAATAACTGTTATCAATGATAAAATTCAAACTTTGAAACAACAATCAGAATTTTGGCCTTGCAACCAACAGTACTATGAACTTGAAGCTTCCTAATACTTGGACTTTTCTGACCTGCATAACTCAGTGAACCAGTATCTTTAAAATAAAATTCCAATGCATGATGTTACGAAAACAATGCATGAGTAAAAGAGCTATTCAAAGTCCAATATAGTCCAATGGATTCTAATTTAACAGAGTACAGAAGGTCATTGATAAGATGTGAGATTCCACATTGCAATCAATCTTTTAGAAACTACCACTGGTCAAAGTGTAGAATCGAAGAATATCCACAACTAGCTGAAAAGGTTTATACTAAAATACTGTTCCCAGCCAGGTGCAGTGGCTCACTCCTGTAATCCTAGCACTTTGAGAGGCTGAAGTAGGCAGACTGCCTAAGCTCAGGAGCTTGAAACCAGCCTGGGCAACATGGCAAAACCCATCTCTACTATAAATACAAAAAAAATTAGCCAACTATGTTGGTAGGCGCCTTTAGTCCCTGCTACTCAGGAGGCTGAGGGAGGAGAATTGCCTGAATCCAGAAGGCGGAGGTTGCAGTGAGCCAAGATCATGCCATTGCAATCCAGCATGGATGACAGACTCTGTCTCCAAAATAAAATAAAATAATACTGCTCCCTTTTCCTACCATATATATATCTGTGTGACTAGACTTTCTTCCTATGCTTCAACCAAACCAATAAATGGAAATAGATTTAATGCAGAAGCAGATACAAGAATCTAGCTTAGGCCAGGTACAGTGGCTCACACCTGTAATCCCAGCACTTTGGGAGGCCGGGGAAGGAGGATCACAGTCAGGAGTTTGAGACCATCCAGGCCAACAGAGTAAAACTTCGTCTCTAATTTTTTTTAAAAAAAAAAAGAGAGAGAGAGAGAGAGACAGGGATCTCATTATGTTGCCCAGGCTGGTCTCAAACTCCTGGGCTCCTCCAGCCTGGGCCTCCCAAAGTGCTGGGAATACAGGCATGAGCCACCATAACTAGCCTGTACTTCTATCTAAAAGCAATATCAACACACTTAAGAGTTGATATTCGGCCAGGCGCTGTGGCTCACACCTATAATCCCAGCACCTCAGGAAGCCAAGGCGGGGCAGATCACGTGAGGTCGGGAGCTCGAGACCAGCCTGATCAACATGGAGAAACCCTGTAATTACTAAAAATACAAAATTAGCCGGGCGTGGTAGCACCTGCCTGTAATCCCAGCTACTCAGGAGGCTGAGGCAGGAGAATCACTTGAACCCGGGAGGCGGAGGTTGCGGTGAGCCGAGATTGCACCACTGCACTCCAGACTGGGCAACAAGAGCAAAACTCTGTCTCAAAAAAGACTTGATATTAAGAAATATTACCTTCTCTTGGCTTACTTCCTTTTCTTCTGCTGTTTGTAAGGGAGTAGGAATATCACACACACACTTATTTTTTCGTCTATTCTTCCGTTTTTGGCGTTTCTTTTCTTGCTTGAGTTCTCTTACTCGTTCCTCTTCTGAAAATTCCTCACAAAGTTGTTCCAATCTGCTAATACCCTGTACTTTTTCCACGGTCATCTATTATAAAAACAAGGTTGAGGGTATTGGTCAGAACTTCTTTTGTTTTCTATGGTAATACACACACTCCTATTCCAAACCAGCAACATTCTAGTTTTAAATTTCAGACTTTTTATTTTTTTTGAGACAGTCTTGCTGAGTCGCCCAGGTTGGAGTGCAATGGCACTGTCTCAGCTCACTGCAACCTCCACCACCTGGGTTCAAGCCATTTTCCTGCCTCAGCCTCCTGAGTAGGTAGGACCACAGGTGCGTGCCACCACACCGGTTGATTTTTGTATTTTTAGTAGAGATAGGGTTTTGCCATGATGACCAAGCTAATCCTGAACTCCTGGCCTCAAGTGATCCACCTGCCTTGGCCTCCCAAAATGCTGGGATTATAGGTGTGAGCCACCATAACTGGCCTAAATTTCAGAATTTTAATACAGCAAAAGTAAACATACCATTTCCTCACATAATGAAAAAACTATTTAACCTGATTACATGATCTAATCTCTGAAGGCACAAAAATACAAAGAGAAAAAGAATAAGGGCTGGACATAGTGGCTCACACCTATAATCCCAGCACTTTGGGAGGCCAAGGCAGGAGGATCACGAGGTCAGGAGTTTGAGACAGGCCTGACCAACATGGTAAAACACCATCTCTACTAAAAATACAAAAATCAGCCAGGCGTGGTGGGGTGCACCTGTAATCTCAGCTACTCAGGAGACTGAGGAAGGAGAATCGCTTGAACCCAGGAGATGGAAGTTGCAGTGAGCCGAGATCGCGCAGCTGCACTCCAGCCTGGGAGACAGAGCAAGACTATCAAAAAAAAAAAAAAGAATAAGTGTGTTCACCAACTACTACAAACTTCCTCACACTCTTCAGAACCAGGTACTTAAAGTTCATCGATGGACTTCTAGAATTCTGGAATTTATAGATTTCATCCTATTCTCATGTGGGACCAACGACTCAGTTAAAGGGTTACAACTGCGCTCTAGTATATACAAAATATTTACTAGCCAAATATGTATGTTCTATAGATTACTTTTTTAAAAAGCTACCAATTTACAAGAACTAAACCCAATACTTGCATTACAAAGTACCCTCAGTGTGCTTCTAAAAATTAATTCTTATATTATTGCATTCACACAGCATTTACTTCATTCTATTGCACATTGGTAGGCAAAATGTAACTTACCAAAGGTTTTTAAGTTTCTTCATTTTCGGCTGCATTTAACTTTTCACTAGTTGTGTTTCTTTGAGATGGAGTTTTGCTCTTGTTGCCCAGGCTAGAGTGCAATGGCATGATCTTGGCTCACTGCAACCTCTGCCTCGCGGGTTCAAGCGATTCTCCTGTCTCAGCCTCCCAAGTGGCAGGGACTACAGGCACATGCCACCATGCCTGGCTAATTTTTATATTTTTAGTAGAGAGAGTCTTGAACTCCTGACCTCGGGTGATTTGCCTGCCTCGGGTGATTTGCCTGCCTCGGCCTCCCAAAGTGCTGGGATTATAGACATGAGCCACCACGCCCAGCCTCACTAGTTATGTTTCATAGCAGCATCTTGTTAGTCATCTTCAGTTTTCCACTATATGAGAACATCTAAAAATCAAGGCTGGCCAAGTAGCAGGCTTAAAAAATTTTTGGCCAAGCACAGTGGCTCACACCTGTAATACACTTTGGGAAGCCGAGATGGGCAAATCACGAGGTCAAAAGATTGAGACTATCCTGGCCAACATGATGAAACCCCGTGTCTACTAAAAATACAAAAAAATTAGCTGGGTGTGGTGGCGTGCACCTGCAGTCCTAGCTACTTGTGAGGTTGAGGTAGCAGTGAGCCAAGATCACCTGACTGCACTCCAGCCTGGTGACAGAACAAGACTCCGTCTCAAAAAAAAAAAAAATTTTTTTTTTAATCCAGCAACTTCTTCTAAATCCCAGTTCCCCAGATCACCCCCCTGCTCCAACCCAAAGCCATGTAACAATATCCAGCCAAAGCCATCAAACTCTATCAGTGATGGATCACAGCCCTTTGAGGCGCTGGTGGCTTACATTAAGATTCAGTCCAATAACGTGACTAAGCAATCTCAGACACTGTTCTTACCTCAAAACTCTTGCGTAAAGCATCAACACCAAGATAGAAAAGCATCTGCCATGTCTGCTCTTCTGCCCGTAGTTTTTGCCAGATTCGATGCAGTCTTTCATAAAGATGAATTCCCAAGCAGGTCAGAACTTCTTCTTGAGCTATATCTATTGTCTTTGCATGCCTTTCTCTTCGTCTATAAGAGAATAATCACACATTAATTCCTAGTACCTTTAAATGAAGCAGTAAAAGATGGATAACACAGCTACAAGTTTAGGCTTTAAATACAATTTGCTTATCTAATAACAAGACAGTTATATGTTTACATTCACTGTATATGTAAATACACAGGCACGCATGTCTACAACCAATGAGAAATACACATGCAAGTACAACTTGGTCCTCGTATTGCTAAAAATAAGGTAATTCAGGAACTGCCTCTAAAGAGATGGGTTTAAGGCACAGGGCAATCACATAGAAGTGTCCAGCTCATAGCAGACATAATAGTTCCTTTCACTTTCCAATTATAGAAAAACATTTTTTCCTTCATTTGGTTTTTTGTTTTGAGGGGGAATGGAGAAAGGCAATGCCAAAGTGATTCAATCATGGGCAAGAATCCTCCAGGCCAGTCTTTACAAGTGTTCACAGAACACTGGTGATAAAAAAAGGCCTCTGTATTCTAAAATGCCTAGCAGAAAGTAGGCACTCAAATGAGGATTGATATCCTAAAAATAAAAGGAAATGGATTTGACTTATTCTATGAACATCATCTGATTTTATTTTTACAACAAAGTCAGAGATAATACTTTAGGTTTCTATATAGTAATAATAATATAATATACACAGTTCATGAATTACATTCAATAAGGCATCTCTTAACCCCCTACTGCAAAGATCTCACTTATGCAGAAACCATTATTGTGAATAAAATTTACACACAATAATGCATGGATAGAGAAAAATCCCTTCTAATCATTTTCAAGTGAAAATGATAAGTCTGTAACAATGAAAGCAAAAAAGCCTGCCTCCCTTCAAGCAAGAAGTAGCAGAGGACTGAACCAAACACCAGGGAACAATTTTTCCCTATTTTCAGTCAATTAAAAAATACATACTTTAGGGCTGGGTGTGGTGGCTCACACCTGTAATCCCAGTACTTTCGGAGGCCGAGGTGGACAGATCATGAGGTCAGGAGATCGTGACCATCCTGGCTAACACAGTGAAACCTTGTCTCTACTAAAAATACAAAAAATTAGCCAGGCATGGTGGCAGCCGCCTATAGTCCCAACCACTCAGGAGGCTGAGGCAGGAGAATCGCTTGAACCCGGGAGGTGGAGATTGCAGTAGGCCGAGATCACACCACTGCACTCCAGCCTGGACGACAGAGCGAGACTCCATCTCAAAAAAACAAAAAGAGAAAAAAATGCACACTTTAAAGAGAAACAAAATCTTTACAGGCATACCTTAATTTATACATACATCATACGTACTGAGGCAGAAGGTGATGAAAATAAATTTTCAGTAATAAAATGAAGCAAAGCGCTAGATAGCCCATTCTAGCAAATTACATACTCATACCCTCCTGCGAACTCTGGCTCAGCACGACCCAAAAGATGAGCAATGAAGTCTGTTTCACAGCAAACATGTATGTGTCGTTCATGTGGACAGCACCGCAAGCCTTCATAAAGTGCAGCACAGTAGCCCTTTTCTTTGCTGCAATCAAGTTCACCAATAAGGATGTTGTATGCTCGGAGAACTTTATTTTTGCAATCAGTGCAAAACCTGTTAAAAACAAAAGCCTCAAAATTAAGAACTGGCTGTGCAATTATTTCATGTGGCATTTAACAGTGTACTAGATGATAGCACTCTCTCCCATCTACAGTATTTTTGTTTGTTTGTTTGTTTGTTTTTTACGAGCTAGCTGAGATTTTATTTTGGACCAAAAATAAATAAATAAAAAAAAAAAAAAAAAAAGCCAATTGAATTGTTTTGCAGCTGGAGGCATGGGCAAGGGGGGTCCCCAGGCAGTAAACTCCCCGCAGGTGGGCTGAGGGCTAGGGCTGAGCATGGGGTGGGTCTCGAGTTCCCTGTGCTCCCCTGCACAGCAACCTCCCTCCCGGGCTCTGGGGCAGCCTCAGGAGGGGCAGGCTGGGAGGGGCTGTTGCAGCTGTTCACTTGGGCAGGACATCAGAGGACTCAGACACCAGCCTCCCATCGCGGGTCTCAATCTTATTCACAACCACGGCCTTGATGGAGCTGGTGCGGCTGAAGGTGGAGCCCGCGCCAGAGCCAAAGCTGGAGCCCAGGCCGTAGCTGAGGCCGGGGCTTGTGAGGCCCCCATAGGCAGAGCTCAGACCACCTGCATAGCTGCTGGTAGTCTTCGTGTGGATACTCATGATCTGCATCCCAGACTCCAGCCGGCTCTCCTCGCCCTCCAGTAGCTTGCGGTAGGTGGCGATCTCGATGTCCAGGGCCAGTTTGACATTCATCAGCTCCTGGTAGTCACGCAGCTGCCGTGCCATGTCCTGCTTGGCCTTCTGCAGTGCTTCCTCCAGCTGCTGCTGCTTGGCACGAGCATCCTTGAGTGCCTGCTCCCCGCGATGCTCAGCATCTAAAATGGCGGCCTTCAGGGAAGCCCTCTGGCCTTTGAGGCCCTCGATCTCGGCCTGGAGCCGGCTGATGTTCCGGTTCATCTTGGAGATCTCAGTCGTCGTACGCCACAAGTCATCCTCGTGCTTCCCAGCCAGCTTCTGCAGCTCCTCATACTTGATCTGGTATACGCTCTCTGCCTCAGCCCGGCTGCGATTGGCAATCTGCTCGTACTGCGCCTTGACCTCAGCGATGATGCTATTCATGTCCAGGGAGCAGCTGTTGTCCATGGACAGCACCACAGACATGTCGGAGATCTGGGACTGCAGCTCCCGGATCTCCTCTTCATACAGCTGCCTGAGGAAGTTGATCTTGTCAGTCAGCCCTTCCAGGCGAGACTCCAGCTCTACCTTGTTCATGTAAGTTTCATCCACATCCTTCTTGATGAGGACAAATTCATTCTCCATCTCTGTACGCTTATTGATCTCTTCCTCATACTTGTTCTTGAAGTCCTCCACCAGCCCCTGCATGTTGCCAAGCTCTGCCTCCAGCTTCAGCTTCTCCTGGCCCAGAGTCTCCAGCTGCCGCCTCAGGTTGTTGATGTAGCTCTCAAACATGTTGTCCAGGTTGCTCCGGGCCATTTTCTGCTGCTGCAGGAGGCTCCACTTGGTCTCCAGCATCTTGTTCTGCTGCTCCAGGAACCACACCTTGTCAATGAAGGAAGCAAACTTCTTGTTGAGGGTCTTGATCTGCTCCTTCTCCTGGGTGCGCACGGCCTGGATGTTGGGGTCCATGTCCAGCTTAATGGGATTCAGCAGGTGATGGTTGATGGTGACGGCAGTGATGCCTCCCATGCCTATGCCGCTGGCCCCCGCATAGACTGCACCCAGGCCACCACGGAAGCCAGTGCTGCTCACTCGGGAGAAGCTCGAGGAGCTCAAGCGGGCACTGGGCCCACTCGTGAAGGAGTGGCTGCTGAAGGCCGGGGGCCAGAGGTGGACACCCTGTAGGACTTCTGGGTCACCCTGATGGACATGGTGCAGGCAGGAGTGGAGGCAGGCGGGCTGAACCAGGGAGAGATTCCAGAAGGAGCGGAGAAGCTGCTGCTTCTACAGTATTTTTTTTTTAAACCTCCATACACACATTTAAAACACATGAATGTTAAGGTAAATAAAAACTTAGGGTTTACATGAATTCAGACAGATCTTCATTTGCCAATGATTTTTTTAACTAGAGAAACACATGGCCTAAAACAATGAGGCAGATACATACCTATTATTTCATAAAATGCATGCCCAGAAAGTATCAGTTGCCAAGAACTAGCATATCTCCACTTCAAAAGCTATATGCACAGGTCAGAAATAAAACAACAGAGGCAACAAACCAATGATTCTTGATTAGTTTGTTCTCTCTCCTTCCATCTGAAAATAGATGGTCTCTTCAGCCAGTAGACCTTGACTCCAATTTCTATTACAACATTTTAATATTTCACTAGCTAAGCATTTGAGGACAGGGTTAGGGGTTGAGGGGGGGAGAAGAATGGGAAAGTGGTGCATGTATTTTTTAATTTACTGATTATTTCCAAAATGCCAAATTCTTTCTTCCAAAAAATGTCTATTTCTTAATAACATAATATAAACATCACATACATAGAAACTGGTTTAAACTTAAGTGTATATAATGTGACAAAAGTATAGAAGAGTTTGTGAATTAGAGAAGAAGGAAAATTTCTTTTAGAAACCAAACATCAATCAGAAAGAATTGCAGCCTGGTTTCTTTATCTTTGAATTCCTTGAACAAGAAGAACTTGGTCTGGTGAAAAAGCCAGGCTCACAATAATAATAACTGGCTAAGAAGATTTATTAGGTGAAACAAGGAACTTTTAATCTCTAAATTCATCTACCAAATGAGCTCATCTATGCCTATGGCTTCAACTAACCTGTCTATAAAGACCATTTGTGACTCTACAGCTCCGTTCAAGTCTCTGCTATTGCCTGAGGGCCAGACTCATACTGAAAAGTGGCGAGACATGACAGATGTCCAATAGGCAACACCTCAAACTCACTGTCCAAGGGTAAAACGCTGTTATATTCCTATGTCCCTTCCCTGTTAAGAATATCGCCATTCACAGCCATTCAAAGTCTCCCTGGCTGGAAATCTCAGTTTACTCCAACTTCTCCCTAGGTCCTCCCATTAAGGGTAGAGCCAACTAGTATTCACTGTGTCTTTCTTATTTCTCCAGTAGGTCCCTTATTTTCAATTCCCTCTGGCTTGGTTTAAGTTGCCTATGCTATCTTTTTTTTTTTTTTTAGACAGTCTCTGTTGCCCAAGCTGGAGTGCAGTGGCACCATGTCAGCTCACTGCAACCTCCGCCTCCTGGGTTCAGTTGATTCTCATGCCTCAGCCTCCAGAGTCACTAGGATTACAGGCGCCCACTAGTGTACCCAGCTAATGTTTTGTACTTTTTAGTAGAGGCAGGGTATTGCCAAGTTGGCCAGCCTGGTTTTGAAGTTGGCCAACCTGGTCTTGAATGCCTGCCCTCAGGTGATACCTGGTTCAGCCTCCCAAAGTGCTGGGATTACAGGCTTGAACCACCACACCCGGCCCACTTTTTTTTTTAGGCTTCTCAACTGACTTCCCCATTTCTAGAAACTTCCTAGCATTGATGCATCTCTCACACCAAAATAATTTTTTTTTTTTTTTT